GGAAAGAGACTTGCGCAAAGGTCACTGGATTGGGGATAGTAGAGTTTTATTGGTGACCGTAGATAATAGCGAGTGCTTATTTAATAATAGGTGCCAGGTGCATATTTATCTCATTTAATCTTCCCATTACCCCTATGACGTGGGTCCTATTACTGTCCTCAGTTTACAGCTGTCCGCAGCATCCTAAGAGACCACTAAAGAGGCTAAAGTCCTATAACTAGAGGAAGACTTGGACCCCAGGCTCATGCGACTCCAAAGCCAGGCTGTCTCACCACCCCTACCCCAGGAGCTGGGAGTTTGATTCCACAAGTGGAGTGGCAGCCAGACTGCAGGCTTCATGGTTGTGCAGTGAGGAGGTGATGCTGGGATGGCAGGTGCACAGTCAGGAGTTTGCCTCTAAAGGAAGAGAGAAGTGGTGACTCAAGTCACAGGCAAGGGAGTTTCTTCCCAGAAAGCATAAACTCTTTGGAATTTGTCAAAGAGATGCTGCAGGAGAAAGGGATAAACATTCTGCCCAGTGGGGCTGTCCTGGGCCCTTCCTGGATTCAACCTTTGGTACATCTGGTCAACCCTGCCATGTGTGATTTTTGTTTGTTTATTTTTCTGAGAACTGAGCTATACAGTGAGGTGATGTCTTTGAAGCCGTGGTTATCATGGCGGGAATTTGCCAGGTGGGATTGGGAGGGAGGGGGTAATTTCCCCCTCCTTCCCTAAGATTTGTTGGGGGGGTGTTCATCATTGGTTCCAAGCAGCACATAGATTGATAAGAACACCCTGCATGCCTTGCAGCATCCACTCTAAATTTTTCAAAGCACAGTCATATCCACCTCACATGATCTTCTGCTCCTGTCTTCTATTCTTTCCACCCCTCCACCCTCCTCTCCAGTTTGGTCTCCCCAGGAGTTGTCACGTGTGGCTTTTTTTGTCTGATTCTGTTGCTGTCGTAGACGCCAGTGTAACCTCGCCTTGAGGAGGAGCTCTCTCATCCAAACGCTGAAAGTCAGTCTGTACTCCAGCGCTGGCTCTCCCAGAGCCGTTGGCGCGTTCAGAGGTTGGAGGGCTCTGGTGCACTTGAATAAAGCAGAATTGAGAGCCAAGCTCAGGAAGAGGAGTTCGTTCTCCTAGTTTCGTTAATATGAATGTGTAGCCTCTTGGGCTGCGTGGGCATTCGGAAGGCATGCCTGTGGAGCCATGGGTGTGGGCTGTTTCACTGGACTCCACGGGGTGGCGGAGGCTTTGGCTATGAGTCTGGCCCGTGTGACTGGCCACCTGCCCCCCAACCCTGGGGCAGGATGCTCAAGTGGCCAGAATCCAGAGCAAACCCTATCCAAGAAGAATTCATCCACCACGTCCTCTGGATTTCGTCCTTGGGCTGATAGTTGGGGCAGAGCTTTTCCTCCGAAGTTATAAAGGACGTGGCAAGGTTCCTCCCTTAGAGAGAAAGCTAGGAGCTGAGTCCTACACGCACCCCTCCCTCAGAGAAGGATGAGTTGGGATCTCAGCAGCAGGGTGCTTTTCCTAGGCAGTAACACAGCTCCGCTTAACCCCAGGGCTACCTTGCGCAGGGGTAAGCATTTCAGGAGGGCAAGCCAGGTGCACGGATACCGTCTCCTCCAAGGAAAAGGAAAGAAAGGCACCCTTGGCGAGACACTCTACGCAGAAATGTGCTTCTTAAGCTCCAGGCTGATTTAAAACACGTAGGGAATGCGTTTGGGAGACGAACGAACGTGACCTTGGCATCAAAGAAAGTGGACGGAGGGTAGAGTTTAAGCTGAGCGCAGGGAGGGAAAAGGAAGTGTTCTCAATTCTTTTTTCTTTTCTTCTTCCTAGCAAGAACCAGTTGAGTCATCTTTGGGGCTTAGTAATGGAGTAAGTGATCTTTCTCCTGAGTGTGCGGCCCTGACTTCAGCTATAAAAAATGAAGTGGATAGTACGGTGAACATCATAGGTAAACTGTTTTGACATCTCATTTCTTTATACGCACGAGTAGCTCCCTGGGGTCGAGAATTTGTAAAACGTGACTTGAAATAACATAGCCAGCGGGAGGAGGTCTTGGAACCATCTCAAAATGCAAGTTCAGGCCCCCAGATTTCAGGGCTGAAGAACAAAGGCCTTTGAAGATCAGGTAAAGGAACTGGGGCAGATCCGCCTCAAAAAAATAGGCAGATGAGATGGGGATGTTCCCCCCCAGCGGCTAAGGATTAGCGGTTCTCAATCTTTCAATAATTGGTCACGTGGACAAAAGTGTTATTTCTTTAACTTGGGAACAAGGTGGGGGGAGACTGTCCCCATGAGTCCTCTCAGCATCTGGTCCATGATGGGCCTGCCACAGAGGTGGTGCTCATCTCACAGATGGGGAAACAGAGGCACGTGGCCAGAGGGCACCCTGTGATCCCACAAAGAGTGTCGAGTGCCTCCTGTATACCAGACGTAGCACTGTGAGCCAGAAATAGGTTGGGGAGCAAGGCGGGCCCAATCCCTAGTTTCATGGAAGAAGACACATAATAAACAAATAAAATCTGCACGTAACAACAGCGTTACAAATGTGCCAGAGGAAAAGAGTGGAGAGATGAGATGGCGCCAGTGGGTGAGGACCTGCAGTGTGGGTCCCGATGCGGGAACACGCTTGGAGGACTAGAGGGAAGGCCGGTGCTCGGCGGTGGGGGGGAGGGTGCGTGAGGGCCGTCAGAAGGGAGGCGGGGCGGGCTTATGGGGACCTTCGAAGACCCTGGGAAGGAGGTTGGGTTTTACCCCCACACTGCTGGAGGGTGTGGGTTTTTTTGTCTTCTTTTTTTTTTTTAAGTTTTAAAAAATGGAAGTGTAGCAGATAGTAAAGTGCCCAAATGTTTTCCATACACACACCATGGAAACACCACCCCTGGAGGCTTTTAGGCAGGCTTTTTTTGGGTGACAAGTGTGAATTATATCTCAATAAAGTCCCGCTGGGATGCTGCCAAGCACGGATGGTAGGGACTCTCTGCAAGAGTGGAAGAGGCCCAGGCTTGACCTTGTATTCTGACTCCAGCCCTGGAATCCAGAACCTCGGTTTCTTTGCCCTCAATACCTTTGGTTCATTACATTTTGTTCCATTTTGTAAACAATTAGGGCTTCTGATGCTGGTAAGAACAGGAAAAATCCCGTTCCAAGAGCAGGCCTCATATCCTAGGACCTTCATTTGTGGGTTCTCAGCTGAGTAGGGACAGGAGGCCGCAGCCGCCTCTCCTTCCCCTGGGCTTTGGAGTTTGGAAGCAGAATCACACGTGCAGGGTCTCCCTTGCACGTTGAGGTCTCCAGCAGCGTGCAGTGTGAAGAAAGAATGAAGCCTGGGTTGAGACTCAGCACGTGCTGTATCTCATGTCGGGATGGCCATGGCTTCCTCGCAGGGCTCACGTCTGAATGGGGCACTTTTGCATAGAGGCAGATGGCCCTACAGTCATTTTGAGCCGAGCAGACTCTCAGCGAGTGAGTACCTTTCTCACTTCCCCTCTGGAGTGAGGCCACTTGCCTGACCGGAAGCCCAGCTCTCCCCCCTCCTGGGCCCTTTTTTCCAGGGCTGAGAGCTGCTTCCCCGGCACCTGGGTTTTTATCATCCCTTCCTCGGCAGGCCGTCCTCAGAAAGCCTCTGCCCACTGAGCCCTTTTTAAAAAGGAAGATATTTGCCAATCTCCCAGGCACGCTTTCTTAAGATTCAGCTTATTTCGAGGCAGCTGGTTGGCTTTTGGAGCTGCCCTCCATTAAGGAGGTGAATTCAGCCTCAGATAAACTGCCAGACAAAAGCCAGAATTGGACCAGTTTTCTTTACTTTTTTTTTTTTTTTTTTAACATTTTGGTTGAGCCTTCAGTATGTAAATTCTCTGCCAGGTCGATTATTCATTGCCCTTATGGTATGATTGGTGCTACATGGTGTTGGTACTAATTTAATGAGTCATTATCCTGGGGCAAAGACAAAGGCCAGGTCTGGTTAGAAAATCACCTACTGGATTAAATGATTCTCTTCCTAACAATAAAATCATAATGGATGGCAGTAAAATGAGTTTGAATATCTCTTTCTAATTAGTCAGTGACCCTTGTGAAGGTATGTAATGATAGATGAAGTGGATCCATGCAAGTATTTTAAAGGAGTGGGTAATTTGTGATTATTGCTAACAGTAGCGCTAGCTCGGATTTTAAACCCTTCGCAGAGCTTTGTCTGCACTCTCCCAAGTGACCAGTAATTAGCCATCCCAGCCTCTGCGATGTGTGGACCGAGATGAGAAGCACAGGGGTTCTGATTCCAAGGCCACTGTGGCACTTGAGAGATTCTCTTTCGGGCTCTCTTTACTTTTTAAAAAGTGCTTTATTTAAAAACGAAACCATTTCTTGCTTTCCATTCATTTGTCTCTAAACCCAGAGTTCCGGCCAGTTTTGTATCCAGGCACCAAGATGAAAACCTCAAGATGTTTTCATTCTACTCTTATAAGCCCATGTTTATAAGATGAAAAATGGGAGCTGAAACGAGTCCTTACTATGAGAGCATTTTTCTCGTTGTCAGTAGGCTCTGTCACTAGGGAAATAGATTGAAAATCAATATCTTGATCCCTTGGAGGCCAGCCACCCAGTACATTTTTATTCTGGAGGAGGGGTGCTGTTTGGTAAGTGAATCCAGTAAGGGTGTAAAGCACGAAATGTCCTGTTACCCTGACAGATGAACTCCTGCTGGATTGCTGCTGTGTTTTACTTTTATTTCTGCGGCAAATCATGGCAGGAAAACACACACACACACACACACACACACACACACACATGCACGAGTGTGCACACGCCCATGGTCAGTGGGCAGTGTCCTGGTCTTGCCTTCTTGTCCAGAACAGCTGAATGTACGTCCAGATTTAGCAGGCTGTGCACTCCAAGCAGGAGGGCAGCATCTCACTGCTTAAACCAGGTCTTTTCACGTTTCATCTCTCCCTCCTGTTTAAATGCACAGGTCAGCACCTCCAAAGATCTTCCCTGCTATCCCTTTAAGGGGAGGGAGAAAAAGACTCATTTTTATTTTTACTTTTCTTTCACATTGAATTATTTTGTGTGTGCGGCAACTTCTGTTTTTAGGAAGCGGAAGAAGCCAGCAACATGTTGGATTGTTCTGATAATACCCTGCTGGCCTCTTGCCCAGGTCAGCAGGGCCTCTGCTGAGCAGTATTGAAATCACCTCCAGGCCAGTGTGAGAAGTTAGCAGGTGCGGACATTCTTTCTCCCTGGCCTACGCGGGGCTTCATAACCCCATTGTGTTTCTTGATAAAAGGTAACCCCACCCTTCAAGAAAGCAAAGATTGCAGTAAATCAAGCTGGCCTTAGGTGACTAGACATAGACAATTAGGAAATAATGTAATTGGAATTCTGTCGATTTTGGTGGCCCAAAATGCACCTTCTAGGATGTACCTTTTTCTGGTAGTTACTTCCAAATTTGACCAACTTTATCTAAAGTAAACCTTGAGTAGCTTTTTTTCAGCCAAGCTTAGAAACTTGAATATCGACAGGAGCAGAACAACAACAAAAAAATTAAAAAAAAAAAAAAAAAGGAGCAAAACAGATTTACAACTAAGAGACCAAACTTAGGGTGCCCCCAGGGCCTCACGGTCATAACTCAAGCCTGGCAGAGCCTCTAGTACCAGAATTCATAATGACTTGAGGATGGTACTGTCTTCAACTCTTCCAGATACTTTGTTCCCTGTTTTGTTTGTTTGCTTTTGTTTTCTGCCATTTTATCTGGTGCTTAAGATATGAAAAATTCCATCTACAAGATAAAAAGTAGATTTGGGGTGGTTGTTTAGATGGAAGGCACCCCTCTTGAGAAGAAGCGAGTAAAGCCTTTCCATGCTGGTTCATCCCTCAGGAGTGGGGGCCAGCGACAAGGCATCCAGTTTTCTCAGGACCCCTAGAAAACTCTTAGCAATAGGAGAGTCCGTGTGAGGTGTGAACCCAGATCTCACAGTAAACCCAGACACAACCGATAATACATCTTGTTTTTCTTCGGTGAACTGGACCTTGGAAAAGCCAAGGTCACAGAGGTGAGGCTGCATGGGATGTACCCTCGGTCACCATGTGCATCGGCAACCCTGGGCAGTGGACGTGGAGGTTTTTTCAACCTTTAAGGGGTTTTTATTTACCCAAGAAAGCTGCCAACTTTTTACGAGGCTGTATATATTTTTCCGCCTTGACACCTCCACCTTATTTATAATTAACTATCGAATCCTGTCTTCCCCCGTCCTATTCCTCAAATCCGTCCCCTTCTTTCTATTTCAGACGCGACTCCCAGTCACCTTCCTGCTTACCTCATCTCTGCTTCCATGCTGCCCCTTCTCCAGACACAGTCATTTGTTTAAAAATGCCAGTCTTACCATGTCACCATTGTCCCCAACCCCCCAGGACAAAGACCCACATGTCCCCAGTGTCCTGGTGACCTGGCCCCTGTCCACCTCTTTTATACTTGTTTTTGAAGTCGAATTACTCTGAACAGTTGGACTTCCATGTGCCTATCCAGCGAGAAAGAGAGGTTTGGGTTGTGGGTTTTGTTACTGTGGGGTGGACGCTATAGCTCTGTCAACCCAGCAGAGTAAGGAAGGGGCATTAGGCGGGTCCATCGGGAAGGGTATGCTGCCAACCCATGAGGTCTTAGTCAGGTTTCTGCTGCCAGACCATTGACCCTTGAGACACGGTGATGAACTCAACTGAGTTTTTACTACAACATATTATTTGCCCCCCTTTATAGCAGAGCAGCATGTGATGCTGTGCACCACACCCTGCATCCACGTCAACCTGTCACTGTTGAGGCAGTCTGGCCCCTTCTCTGAAAGTACTAACCCCGTAGAGACTTGTGTCTCCCACCGTCGCCCTTGGATGCCTAAAGTGAATCATGGCCAGAGTTTATTTAAAAAAAGAAAACAAAAAGAGCACCAGATTAGAAGTTAAAAG